CCCAAAACAAAAACAATTTTCAAGTTTTTTAAAAAATATATAGATTAGAATACATAACCTAATTACATAAATTGAGCTAAAAAAAACATGTAATTAATTCTAAATTTATATAATCTCTTAATAAAAATATAAATTTCTTAATTTAATTTTCTTAAAATATAATATTAAGGAATTTAACTACATTTAAAGATTAACATATCCACTAGATTTTATAGAGGTTTAATTAAAATAAAATAAACTACAAGTCCTAATTTAAAATTAAGAGAAACTATAAAGATTTATGGATTAATTTTTTAATTAAATTTATAAAAAAATTTAATAAGATTTAAAGTTTTTTTGATTTCATGAAATATATTAGAAGTGATGTATATATAAAACCAGGAGGAGGAAGAAAAATACAATTATTTGATTATTAATATTATTGGGCCATATTTATTTAATAAGAATTGCAAAAATCAGTTAGAGATAACTCTTTCAACATGATTTTTTTCCATTATAAGATTTAAATCACGACATGCACTGAGAATATTAAATCACGAACAGTATAGTAATTTTAGTATTTGATAAAATATTTTGTTCTTTCAAATTTTCATTATATTTTATTGAACTCCCTATAAATTTTTCACATTTTCAATTTATTTAATATTTTGGTAAATTTTAAATATTGAAAATAAGTATTTTTTATTTTAAAAATTTTGATTTATTATTTAACACATACTCCCGCTATTAAAAAAATATAAGACATTTTTAGTTTTTTAATATAAAATTAATAATTTTTTTAAAAAATAACCTTTAGTAAATAAATAATCCAATCATTCACTTTTAAATGAAACACTATTAAAAAAATATAAACATAAAAAATAATACTAATATAAAGACAATCAACTAAATAATTAGGAGACGTAACTTGGTTAAAAAAAGTCTTATATTTGTTTTTTTTTTGGATGGAGGTAATACATACCATAGAAAAAGTAAAAAAGAAAAAAACAAAGGACATCTAGTTGGAAAGAAACCACCACATAAATACCACAGGAAAAAAAAAAAGAAAAAAAATGATAACTAGTTTGAAACAAACCAACACAAGACGAAACGAAACACTTCAGTTCTCGTTAAAACACACAAACAAACAGTTATATAAGCGATGGATATAGTGATGATACACCAAACAATTAATGGCCCGCCATCAATTTCTAGGAAGGTGCAATGCAACAATGCTTCTCACCATAATTATGACAAAAAAAATATTAATCAATACATGTATACATGTCTACATGCGTCGTGTGTAAGAGTAGCACGATTGTGTGTGTAAGTGTACAAAAGTATATATATTGCTTATAAAGAGACATACAAAAAAAAAATCAAAGAAACTTTTTTATGTTGTTGTTATTAGATGTTCAAAAATATTGTAATGGTTTCTTTCAAATTTATTATTGTATAACTGAACTTTATATAAAAATTATACATTATATTTTCATTAAAAATTTAATAAGAAACTGATAATTAAGTAGATTATGTTTAGTTCTAAGAAAACCATTACATTTGCATGGATTGGCGAGCGACACGAAAAATAGACTTATATCATAAAGAAAAAGAAAGGTTTCGTACAAGAAAAATGAATTAGAATCTTTTATGTCATTCCTCCCTTCACTCAATGTGATAAGATATTTTTAAATGAAATACATTCTCAATGAATCAATTAATTATATTTAAAATTATACACTTATTTCATGTTTCCCTTTATTGAATAAAGTGTGTCACTTAAAAAATCTGATTAATTATACTATCTAATTAATGGTATTTTTGAAAAAAATCTTATTAATTGTACTTTAAAAGACTTAAAATGTCATATATTTTTAATGATTAAATATATTATATATTTTAATGAATTTTGTTGATAGTTTTTTTGTTTGAAAAATTATTGATAGTTTAAAGACTTTAATTTTTCTAATAGTAGAATACTATTCAAGCCATAAGAATTTAATTCCAAGAACTTAAAGGTTAAAGTATATTTTTAATCTTTTAACTTTATATAAGATTTTAATTTAGTCCATTAATTTTATAAAGCATCTTTTTAATCCTTTAATCCTAATATCTTTAGTTTCAAATGATTTTTTTTATGTCAATCATTATTATTTTAAAAAAATTAAACTTAATATGTTAATATTTGTTAGGATAAAACTAACAATATTAGGGTTAAAGGATTAAAAAGACACTTTATAAAGTTAAAAAAATTAAAATGAAATAACATATAAAGTTAAAAGATTAAATGTATATTTTAGCTAATATGATAATAAAATTGAAAATGAATGAAATATGAAAGACCATAAAATATTTTCCCCCTAAAAATTGCATATATATTTTTGTAAAAAATGATCCTTGATTAGATTTCAGTAGTACTAGTAATATAAGATTTTTTTTTCACATGTAATTTATTACACATTCAATAAATTCATACAAATTAAATATGTGTGTGTATTATAGTACTCTCTCTGTCCCAAATTATAAGATACTTTTAAATAAAATCTCATATACCAATAAAATTCATTAAATATGTTTTACAACTCTACTTTTTCAAGATAAAAATATAAACTTTCAAAAATAACATTCATTTAATAATTCATTGATGAAAGAATATTAAAAAAATATATGGGAATGATAATATTGAAAAAGCATGATTAATGAAACATTATTTTTATCAAAGTATCTTATATTTTGGGATGTTAAATTTTTCATAAAATTGTCTTAGAATTTAGGACGGAGGGAGTAATATTTTCTTGGTATGGAGTATTATTTCAACCGTTTGACACTATTCAGATAATTAACACATCTGAATCAGGCATCAGCTAAGCCGTTTGCGTGACTTAAGTAAAATAATTCTTTATTTTTAAGCAAACTATTCACCATTTACCAACTTAATATTGAAATGAGAATGAATAAAATTTTTAAAATTAAATTATTTGATTGAACCAGCTTGATATATATTTATTAATTAGCTCTTACCATGTAAGCTGCGTAAGTAGCTTTCATAAAATAATACCTTATTGTTAAGCAAACGATTCACCCTTACCCAGCCATGATTTAAAAAATGAATCGAGCTAAATTTAAATGTTGGCTTAAATCCTTGCTGTTGACAAACACTTTATTTCCTTTTTTTTTTAAATAAAGGAAAAGGCACTTATGGCCATCGAGATTTCAAAGTATAATCAAAACATAAGACCCACTTAGAGAGGACTTACATGTCATTAAATTATAAGGTCATTGGCACAAATATACTCTTCTTCAAATACTTTCTATACTGTTTCTAAAACCAGGATAAAAAGTGTTTTTCAACCAGTGTAGAATGTTGTTTTTGCATTGGTAAAAAAAAAAAAAAGAATTATCTTTTATTTGATTGATTTTGGTAACAATAATAGCTTAACGCTAAGCTTGGCTTCCAAAAAAAAAAAAATATAGGAAGGAGAGAAAATAGAATAAGAGAAAATGAAGAAAAAGAACAGTGGAGGGATGTAATTTCTTTCATCGTACTTGGCTGAGTAAGAAAAAATAAAGAAGAGAAAAAAAGTTGTTAATTTATATAGACAATAATAATCTTATTATTTATAAAAATATTTATATATAATAAAATTTAATATTTTAAAAAATTAAATTTAATATTTTCATAAATTATTGATTGAATGAAAATATAATTACAAATTATTTCATTTAATACTGACCAAAAATTATTTTATCCAATTTATAATTTTATTTATTGAATTATTCAATATATAATAATCTTAAAATTTTGAAACTGCAACCAAATACAAGAAATTTAACTAAAAAATTACCATGATCAAAATGTAATTATACTGCAAATATAAAATTTGAAAATTGGTATGTAAATTTAAAAAAAAAATTCCCAAAATCTCTCTATATTTAGAGATAAAAATATGTAGATCCTACATATTATTTTTCTTTCATTTTTCTTTTCCCTCTACTTTTTTTTTTCTGTAGCCAATCAAAAAAAAAATTATTTTTCCCTCATTTTTCTCTTTCTCTCACTTTGCTTTCCGGCCAATATCGTAGCACAAGGGTTTAGTTGATTGGTACGACTTAAGTCTCCATAGGGGAGACAATTTGATAGCTTTAGTATCCAAAAGGAAAAAAGTTTCTATTAACTAATTAGGAGGAAAAAATCTTGCTCATCCATCATTTGAACTGATCTCATTCATAAAACTAAATCCTTTTTTACTACAAGAAGTTTAAAAAAAAAATACCATATTTTTAGTTTGAAAATAATGTGACTTATTATTATAAATTTTATTATATAAATATTGATATTAATTGCTTTAAAATTAATACTTTTTAAAGCAAATGGAACTTCTCTTCTTTCCTAAATTTTATTATTATAAAGAATCTCTCAAATATAATTAAACCCTGATTTTTAGATACATTTATACTTATCATACACAATTTTTTTAATGTATTTTTTAGTTACATGTACGATTCATTAATTATTGACATAAAACAGTCATTAAAAATATTTTAGCTCAAGTGATAATAAAATATTCTTGTATTAATCATTTTATTGAATTTAATTTATAGAATTTCACATTAATTAATAAGAATCTTCACATTAAATAATACACACACACACACACACACACACACACACATGAATATAGCTAATGAAGTTATAGAGCTCCATCACACAAATATATATATATATATATATATATATAGCTGCATTATAAATAGTTTCTGACGCTGCAAAACATTTTATTCTATGTGATTCCTGAATTTTTGCGGGAAATTAAATTCCAGGACCGGACAGCCCACAATTTGAAAGTGTAAGCCGAGATGCTTTATTAACTGATGATACTATATACTTTCTCACTGAAATCCTCACAGTCACTATTTCCGGAAAATCCAAACAAATTAAAGGAACAGATCGATTTTAATTCCCTTCAATATCCACAGTTAACTTATCGTTACTGAAATTTAATTAAACAGTGAGCAAGACCTGAAAAGAACAAAGTAGACATATGCTATATCGCTAGACGCAGCTAGTGCCCAGCAAGTCATCATTTGAAACACCAAGGAAATTAATGTACAAGAAATTAAACGTGGTAATGCTTTAACTCAATCTTCTTATAACACCAGTTATTTACTATAACTTGAGAGTCAAGTTTCGGAAGAAAGTTACAAGTAGAAATTCACAAGTATTTTGATTCCAAACCAGGTGGCACATGCATGCAAGCAAGTTCATAGCTAGTTATATCCCATGCACTTTATTATCCACTCGAGAAAAACAGTGTCCTTGATGTTGTGGAAGAGCTTGTTGTGTTTTGATATGGCTTTTGCTGGAAATAATCCGGCGGGGACGCTGCCACCGTCACCGACGACGATGACTGGATTCCAGAATCTGGTGGCGACCCTTCTACAAAGTCAAAGACACAGAGATGATCAGTTAAAGCAATTAAACATAATATCAGTCGTGTATGTATATAAAGTAGTTGTTTAACAGATGATTGTGTTAACGCCGTCCCAAGAGAAATTTAGAAGGAAAAGAGAAGAGGCTTTTAATTAATTTACTTACTTGCTACAGAATTGCGAGCCTTTTCGGGGTGAGATTTCTGGGTTTCTTGAGGTAGTTGTTGAGTTTTTCTTCTGCGGCGATTATGATCTGCCAATCTTTTCCTGCAGCTTCGTTTTCCGTTATCGAACTCCGAAAGCAGATGAAACCTGCAAGAAGGAAACAATTGACAATTTTTGTTATAAGATAATTATGAAAATTGACATTGTTTGTTCTAAAAAAACAAATGGTGCAAGACAATGCAGTACGTAAGCTGAAAGAAGAGAAGATTTTAGAAATTGGAGAGATAGAAATGCCCTCGGGATTCCGCGCCAATCACTGCCCTAGACAGTCCCATAGAGGCATTTTCGTCTGTGAGATCAGGATATCATACACCCGTCTTCTTTGGGCTTCCCATCGCTCATGATTGAGTGCCCCAAAGATGAGCGATGGTGGTGAAAACATGAAGTTACAGTGAGGGTTCATTTCTTAAAATTTAAAAATGTGAGTAAGTCATTAAACTGAGTTTATTAATTCTGAGAAATAATTAGCTCGTTAAACAAAGTTTAATAAGTTTAATTCTGATGAAGCTACCATATAAGAAGCTAAAGTGCAAAGAGTATGAAAGGGAAAACGAGAAGGGAAAATTTCTGCTGGACGTAAATGCCCTCGGGATCGGCCCTTGTACGATGGAAGCGCAACATCACAGATGATGAGAGGAGGGGACAGAACCGAGGGGCATTTCGGTCAATTTTCTGGCAGCAACCACCTGCTACATTGCTGGCAGAATCGCTGAGTCAACCCGGCGGTGATGACTGTGGCAGCCTTGGAGTGAAACTCGCAGACCTTGTGTCGGCGGTGGTAGTGCTTCGCATGGGAAAGATCGGCATTACATCCCTCGGCTTGGCATCTCGGTGAGTTGTTGTTCAACGACATAGTCGAGCCTGGCTCCGACGGCCTGGACCGGCGGTAAAGGCGGCTCACGAAGTCGTCTTCGGAGCTGGAGAAGTACGTTCGGCCGCCCAGGTCGAGTCCAATTCGAGACGCCGGAAAGTCCATGGGCCGACCCACATCCTCGGACTTGGGCACAGCCAGAAGCCCACCACCAGGTCCGCAGTTACCGGCGTTGACCGGAGGAAGCGGGTCAAGGGAGAACATGGAATGAGGTGACTGTGCAAGTGGTGGAGGTTGTGTCTGCGGTGGAGGAAAATGCGACGGCGACGCGACGGGGAAGGCGCGTGTGTCAAAGAGAGAATGTGGGTGGTGGTGGTGGTGGATGATGTGGTGATGAGATTGCGCGTGAAATTGTTGTTGGTGTTGTACAAGAGAGAAATCCGAGGTGGTGGTCGGTGTGGGTCCCGGTGGAGAATGAGAAATAAGGTGGTCTGGCAAGAAAGGGTGAGAATTATAGTGGTCGAAGATTTGCCGTCGCGTTTGTTCGGAGTCGGCCGCCGCCGCTACAGCTGCATCTTCTTCGTTTCCGGTGAGCATTATTGTCGAAGGATTGCCCCATTCATAATCCAACATCTCTGTGTTTTTCTTCACCGACCTAACACGACGTCGTTGTAAGCGGCAACTGAAACATCATAACAAAGTATATAGCTCAGTAATTAAAGTCGGACTCTTCGTTATAGAAAAAGAATGGTGGGTTTGAAAGACCAGACCTGTGAATTTCAGCCGGAGAAGAAGAAGAGAGATATAAGATCAGAAATATGGGAAACCCATGAATAGTTTCTTTTCTTCTCTTTTCTTTTCCTCCTATGTTGATGCGGTGGGTGTTTAAAAGATCTCACTTTGGGCGTCTAAAAGCTGAACCCTTTTGTCCCCTTCTCTTTCTCTTTAGGTGTGTGAGTGCAAGAGAGACTGTGTGTGTATAGGTGAGAGTGTGAGTGAAGGAAGCTGAGCTACGAGGTGGCTTGTGCAGAAAGAGGGTGATTGGTTGCGAAGTGTACCGGGCAGATAATGAAATTACCATCGTAACCAAGGAAAATATACATATTGCGACAACAGCCATGTAGTTTCGCACCTCCAGCTGTTTCAGCTGTTTTCGTTTCTGCTCGTGCAAGAACAGAGTAAAAGGGAAAGGGAGAATTATTGTAAAGTTCCACAAAAGCTGTTTAATTTCCCTAAAGCCCTATGAAATGTATAACTAGCTTTGAAGTCCCTAGATCCTTTGCGGTAAATAATTTTTGTTGGCCAATTACCAAGTTGCCCTTCATCTTGAGAAAATAAAATGAAGACAAAACTCCCTTTGCTCTACATATTCTTTTTCTTCTATCTCTGTAAACTCTCATTCATGTGCTTCAATCCCAACCTTTATATTTGATCTTCATTGTTGATTTCTCGCAATCCGATGGAATCTCTCATCGCCATCCCACTTCTTGATGCTTTGATCTCATCCAAGTCCGAAATGGCCAAGCATTTTGTGTCTCTTCTTCTATCTCTTGGTCACCTAGCTCATCTTGTCGACCTCACTTCTCGCTGCATTTTATTCCATGCTCCCTTGAGCTAGTTGAATTCCTTTGATTGATCTCTAAATCTCTCATCTTATTGACCTTTGATTTTTATGCGAGGCTCTATGCTATTGCTATAGTCACTATAGGGCGCTTCATCTCAGTAGTAGATTTTTTTTTTTGTTCATTGTTCTTTTATACCTAGGTTTGGAATCATAGTTGTAGAAGATGAAAATGAAGGTTCATTTTAGATTTTGATTTTCTTCCCAAATTAAAAAAGCAGAATAAGTTATTATTCTCAACATGGTACAAAGATGCTGTTGATTTTACTGCCTTTTGTTTTGTGTTTCTAAGGTATTAGTTTGTTAAACTCTTCTCAAGCATATGGCTTGCCCACTTTCTGTATTTGATTACCAAACAAAAAACAAAAAAAGAAAGTGTTTTTTAGTTTAATTTTATTGGTAAAATTCTAATGGCCATGCAGTAGAAGGTCGACAAATGAAGATGCATATTAGTCTAAAAAGAATCAAGGCAAATGATTTAATGGAAGAAGATATAGAAGATTTAAAATGAGTTAGTTGGTCACAATTGTTGGTGTGAAGCAAGGGTATTTTTGGTTTCAGCACAAGAAATGCCTGTGCTTCACACCAAAAGTTATTTACAACAAAAAGTTTAGGAACTTCAAGATCATAAGTGCATTTTATGAGATTTTAAAGTAATTAAACAAGTTTTTTTAAGACTTTAATATAGTTCTCCTAAGAAAGAAAAGAACACATGCAAGCAAGACTGTTGTTTTTTAAAATTCAAACCATTTATTAAATCTGTTGGAGTTGGAGGGAGAGGGGTCTCTACTTTTTTCCCTCCATTTCCCTCCATTTCTTCAATCCTTACCATTCAAATTATTTTATTAAATAATTTTTTTAAATGATAAAATTAATGAATAGTGAGGATGGGAGAAATGGAAGGAAATGGAGGGAAAAGAAGTTTTAAATTCTGTAGATGCAAGGAATTCGGAGAATCCTTCAATTCTGTAGATCCTGAGACAACTACCTACTAAATAGCTAGTTGACATTATACCCCTGGAATGGATCAATAATTATAAGAAGCAGTTCCATGGTGTTCAAAGAGATGTTCATACTACAGAAACTCCTATCCTTTATAGGATGCAGGATGGTACTATTAAATCTATTTTTAAAAAACATAGAACCCATAATCCAAACCATATCTCTAGAAGGATTGTAATGTCCACCTTGACATTACCAAAATTCACCACACAATCACAACAAACAATCATAATTAGGAGCAACGATTGCTCCTAAGTTCACATTGTTCATATAAGCGTTAAAACCAATAATCTTTTAAAAATAATTGTGGAATAAGTGGGATCCTATAAAAACCCTTTAAATTGATAGTTTGAGCTTAAACTTAATGATTTATAAAGGTATTGGAAGCATGGAAAAGTTTTGGAAAGCAAACCACTTCAAAATAGGGCCAAAAATGTCATTTTTAAGTATTTTGGTCTGTGTGCTGTGGCTCATGGTCCATACGCCATGGCATGTAGCATAGATAGCCAAGTTTACTCGTTATACCATGCACTACGGTTTGCATGAAATGCACCGTGGTGCACATATCCATGACAGCAATGCTGTCATGATAGCTTTTCTGGATAAACTTCGAACCCGCGCCATTTTCACATCCGATATCCGATTGGAGTAATTCAAGTGCCGACGTGAAGCTTATTTAATAAGCTAACTAATGGTATAAGTTTCATAATAATTTTAGACACTTAGATGCAAAAGTCAGTTTTTGAAGAAATTTTCAACCATCTAATTACCCAAAACTCATAACTTATATCATTAACCCATTATGAGGCTTAAACCAAGTCCAATGGATCAAAATATACTTGAGTGACCAATCAAACACATAAAAATATACTAAATACAAAATTTGGCCACTCAATGGCCATTTCACCTAATATGGCCAAAACACACAATCGACACTACATGCACTATTTGACTTCTATTGCTGCATAATACATTACAAGTACATTGTCACCACATAGATAAAACATTCCTTGCACTTGTATTAGTATTTTAGCCCATCACCATAAAAATTTTCACATATTTATATCATATATAATATTAGGCTAAAATACAAAATAACATAGTATGAAATAAGTGCAACTAATCAAAATGATATGTATTCCTTGTTGGCAACATATAATATCATATAACAAGTTTATGTACATGACTCAAATCAAAATCGAGCTTTATAATGAAAATGTAGCAAGTATACTAGCCATTGCCTGATTCCCTCCCTAGCTCAATCTCATTGGTAGAACCTGTAAAATGATAACCACGGCGTGAGATAAAAATCTCAGTAACTAAGATAATCTACATTATTAATTAACAAGCCAAGTTATAAACAAACATTAAAATAAGTGACATAATCACATCATATAAGATCACCACAAATTGCATGCATGATCCCTAACCATCTGGTCCTCCAATACTCCCGACCGAACCGGTAGGCTATTTCACAGAACCAAATCACATGTATGGTCTCCAAGTTCACCATCCATGGTAGGACTACCCAGCTAAGGTGTCCTAAACCACTTTCGGACTATTAGTTCCCCCTATTACAAGTAATTTGGGGGTGTCGTTACTCCAACATCGCATCCTACGGATGTTAAGGAGTATAGTCTCCAACTTCACACCCTTTTGGATACTAAGGAGAGTAAGTCTCCAACACCACACCCTTTTTCGGGCACTAAGGAGAGTAAGTGCTGAACCTGACGTCTTGAGGTGCCAACAATGCCATAATTTCACTTTCTCCACTAGGGTGACCTCCCACCCTCTAATATGCGACATTTCACTACATATCTCCACTTGACCATGCATAAACAACTTTTCAAAAAAATATAACAAAATCTTACCATTTATTTCAAAAATATAGAATTTCACAAAGCAATACTCCACTCATTTTCTAAAATAATTAACCTTTAAAGAATTTATACATATATACTTAACAATTCATAGAAAAGCAACTTGAGAATAACTTATATAAGGTAATAAATAATATAAATTATCTAGTTACCTCAACCCTTTTGTTACTAAAAGGGTTACCCGTAGTACTAATTCTCTTCTTGTGTCAAGATAAGTCTTTCCACTCCACAATCTACATCAATAAGTACTATATATTAATTTTTAATTAACACAAGCACTATTAGCTAATAATAACCTCCCAATTTTCCCCTTTCTCACTCATATTCTCAACAAAGAGGCTTGTTAAGATTAGAATTTGTTCATACAATCCCTTTAAGCCTCCCTCTAACTCTCTTACAACATAAAACTCAATATCTCAACTTATCACACCTCAAAATCCCATTATCAAGTTAAGGCTTGATCCAACTTTCACTAAACAACAAAATAGCTTCATATTACCACATATTCAAGATTAATAAACCTAAATCAAACATTTAGAGTTAATAGAAACCTTCAAAATATAGACTCATGGCTTAATCCAATCAGACTAAATTCTCACTCTTCTAAATCTCATAGAAAATGAGAGGAAAAGGTAGAGGAGAAGGGTAGAAAACTTACTCAAGAGTTTGAAGGCTCAATTTGTCTTCAAAATCCTCCCAAAATGATGCCCTAGCAATGCCCAAAGTTACCCCTTCGTGCTCTAGGTTTCCCATCATAAAATCTAATTTTTTCTTATCATTTCTGAAATTTCAAGTTGTCTGCTGTGCCGTGTGTTACATGCAAGCTGCAGCTCACGACGCAGCAAGCAAAATGTTGATTTTGCTTCCCTCAATGCCACCTGACTTGATCCGACTTTCGTCCTATCTCAACTTAGAGCTAAATATAACCTAAAAATCCAATTAGCAACCCAAAACATAATTAAATAAATTAATCATATTTTTAACTAATTTATCCCTTAATTAATCAACTTTTCTAGATTTGAAGTTTTAAGATGTTACAAGGATCATGTCTACCTGTCCAGCTTTTATTACAGATAAAGAACACCTTCCAATTGAGTGGTTTAATGCAGATGCTTGGCTAGTTTATGTTTCACATATCAATGGTTACTTTATCTAGGATTGTGCCCTAAAAATATGTGACCCTAGTTGTGACTATTATTTCTAGACTGATTCTGAATGATGATGGTTACAATTCTAAAAGAAGAAAGACTAGGAAGTCCAAACATCCTCTATCACCATGTGGACATAAGCAAACTTTAAAGGATGATGACGATGACCATGGCCCTAAACAACTTTGGTATAAAAACCAAATAAAAAGAGAAATTTTAATTTTATTTCTAGATTGAATGAATCATACAGCAAAGCTATAGTCTTATTTATACTACTAGTACTCTGAATGAAACAAACGAGCAAAGAGGAAGTTATAAATGTAAATGCTAATTT